AGCAGGAAGCTCTTCATTGAAACTAAGAATGGCAATGTTTACTATTCCTAAAGACCTAAGAAAAGAAGTAGTGTGGAGAGAGGAAGAGGCAAATCTTTAGCCTTCTTACGTTTTGTATTGATTTGTTGTCTGAGGGGCATAAGATGACTATGATTTTCTTGCTGAGTACTTCACAGGTCACTTTTATTTTGCTTGCTTCTTTAGCTCCATGTATCTAAGGACTGGGTTATTAGGTTACTTTAGAAGGTTATGTATTGGGCTGGTTTAAAAACAAAACGATGGGCCTTGCTAAATTCTCACATTTGAAGGGCAGGTGATGCTAGTGATAGGGAAGATCTCCAAGTGTCCACACAGGGAACACTCGAAGGACACTCGATCCAGTTATTTCTGACCTCCAATCTCAGTTTTGCTGCCAACTTGTGTCCTTGGGCAAATCCCTTAATCTCTGTGCCCTGTTTACACAAGCATTAAAAAAGGAAATTTTTTGCTCCCTCACAGACATGTCCCAAGTGTTCATTACTGTTGGTGCAGAGCTTTGAAGTTACAGTGTGCTTTGAAGTGTTGTCCTTTGAAGTATTGTTTTCTGACTTCGCAGCCATGAGCATTTATTTCTTAAATTAACGCCTGCCTCTGCTTTCTAGCTAATTTCATGTTGCCATGTCGTCATGAAATGCACGTTTAATTTTCCCTGCTTTAATTTCTCCAGGATGAAAGCAGGCCAAGGTGCTCCCTGCGCGCGGCTGGAGCAGAGGCTGTGGGAGAGCCCTGCAGAGGTCACCATTCCTCCACCGAGGCTCTGCCGCTCCTGCCTCTGCTGAGCCCGCACGGAATGCGACCCAGCCACTTCCAGTAAATTCTTACGATTTCCTGGGCATTTTCCTGAGAGAATGGGTGGAAAGCCAAACATTAATAACACAGTTTCACTCACTGTGATATTTTCCCATTTCCCGATGTGGACTTTCATTTCGTTTTAAGACAACTGTTTGCAGCGGTGCCAGTTGGTTATTGGGGACATATCTCACTGTGGCATAACTCGTCTGTAAGAGATAATAAGGCCAACAACATTATCGAAACATCATGAGGGATGGAAAAATTTATCTGGGTAATTAAGGCGTTTTCATTAATAAACACAGCTGAGAAATAAAGCTTTGTTTGGGATAACCAGAAATCTAAGCGTGGCTGAGCTGGCTGAGATTGAACTATATTTAGGTACAGCTGGATTGAGAAACAGCAGTGCTAGAAGTGTTCTTGATGGTGAGTAGAGTGAGCTTGACTGATTATGATGCTGGAAGAGAAGCTGACTAGTCAGAATGTCTGCAAGAGGCAAAATGTGCTGCCTGGTTTTGCCTAGAGATTAACTGCACTGAACTAGGGAAGTCAAAAGAGGAGTTTGGTACTGAGTGATTAGTTTGTGTTAGTCATATTTCTGTAGAGAGCAGGCCTGGGGCCTCCTTGGGGCTGAGAGATCTCTGCCCTGGCTGGTATTTACATGGGAGGTGTTCCCTAGGGAAGTGCCATCCCCGCAGTGGGACTGGCACACACGGAACATGTGCAGGAGGGGAAAGCTGATCCCAGCGGTCCCGTGTTCTGGGTCTGACTTGCACACCAGGTCTCATCTGACCCTCCCTGCAGGCTGCTGGGCCAGGCCCCGTGCCTGAAAGAGGAACCTGCAGGAGGCACAGCTTCCTAGCCCTGTCCACTGCTCATGGATGCTTCTAAAGTACTAACAGTACTCTAATAACTCAGATGTTTTGTTCGATTTCCAAAACAACTCATTATCAGATCCCAGCACTATAGTGCTGTTTCCTCGAGCACAAACAAATGAGGATCATGTTAAGCACTGCACCCTTAGAATCCAAACTGTTCTTTTTCCCAAAGGTTAACATGTACTTGTATGAAGTTTCCAGCCTGGGATAACTCTTAAGTGGATAACACACATCTGCAAAGTGCCAGCGATGGCTGGAAATGCTGACAGAGCAGGTTGAGCAGATGGATCCAACTGTAGGAATGAGCCTTAACACTCAAAACTCAGCCAAAGTGAGGAGTAGGATTGTTTTCCAGTTTACC